CTCACACACAAGTCAATAAAAATATTCTCGGAGAGTCATGGGCGTTGGAAGCTCTTGGCTCCTACCAAGCAATGTCAAAATTGGTAGTAAATTGCCAAAAACAACTCTCCTCGATAGAAAGACTTAACAGATTCTCTCTGGTCTGGATTCCTGGCCATACTGGCCTGAAAGGCAATGAGTCTGCTGACTCCCTTGCAAAGTAGCTGCAAGTAGCTTCATTGGACCAGAACCTGTCATTGGCATCGCCTTGGGCTTTGCCAAACCAACTTCGAACACCTGAATGGCAAGAAGATTTCTGGACTCCTGGCAGTTTATTCATCCTTCGAAGCTTGATACCAAACAGTTGTTGGACTACAGTAGGGATGAACTACGATGTCTAGCAGCCCATCTTACAGGTAACTGTCATTTGAATCCTTATATGCAGAGACTCAGACTTTCGGAAGACAGTGTGTGTCGCCTCTATTTGGAAAATGGTGGAAGCAGAGCATATACTTTGTGCCTGTCCCGCTGGGGACTGAATCAGGTTTTCAGAGGTCGGCAGAGCCGTACTCTTACCATCTGACCTGAAAGATCACTCACCATACAAAGTAATCGGCTTCGTTGAGAAGCTGGATTTATTTGGTCGAGTGTGAATAGTTGTGAGCCACAATAAACTCTTTTGGGTTGTGGTGGAGGTTCGAATAGACCCGCTCACTTTAGACCTAACCTAACTTAACCTTACTATTCTCGCCCTCTTCGTACTTCTCAATTTGCTCTAGTTGCTAGGGTAGCGACTGAATCGAATGTGTCGGGAGACTTTCAAAATAAATGTATTTCATGATATAGTTTGTTTTTGTAAAATGTCCAAGATTGTGGAAAAACAATTCATGGCTTTTGCATCACGATAATACACCTGCTTTCTCGCTATTGTTTGTTCGTGAGTTCTTGGCCAAAAATAACATGTTTTAGCCGTCGTTTTCACCAGATTTGCTGCCGTGCGACTTTTTCTGTTCCCAAGATTGAAGACACCCATGAAAAAACAGCGTTTTTCTGTAATTGAGAAAATAAAATTTGAATCGCTGAGGGAGCTCATGGACGTACCAGAAAGTGCTCCGAGGATCGAAAAAAACGCTGGCACAATGTTTTGTATCTGAGGGGGACTACTTTGAAATTGGAATTGATGAATCAATAAATATATTTTTGGCAAAATAAAATTGATGTTGAATAAATAATTTTTGAGAAAAAAATTAAATTCACTTTATTTATTGAACTTAGTTGGAGTGAATTTCATTTCGTTAATCGCCAGTGAACACACTGTAACAATCTAGTACCCTGTTACCTGGTACATTCATTATGATATATAATTTCATTTAAGTTCGACCCATTCATCTTGATATTAACTGATTCCAATAATTGACATGTTTCTGCATTCATGCATTGATTTTGAACGCCCAACCAAGATCCTTCCAAAAAAATCAAATGAATTTAGTGGGCAATTCAGAGAGCATTCTCTTTTAAGCGCAATGATACGAATTGAACAGCTCTATAGATGAACCTCTTTGCATTCCTCAAACTTACGAGAACAATAATAGAAGTGACGATGCTGGGGAGGTTCAATTTGAAGCGATCCGACGAAATTGTTAGGCAGCAAACTGCGCGTCTGGAGTAATTAGCGGAATCGCACCGTTTTGTCAAATTAAATGAAGCCATCCGTGGACCCTAGCTCGATACGAAGATGGCAGGTTGAATTCGGGTATACAACCTGCAAAACCTTTTAGATTTCATCTTTCTCTGTCTGTTAACATAAACAGGTATGCTAATTTTGTTTTCAAAACTTACAAACTTGAATGTCCATGAATGAATAGTAGTGTGCAGTACAAATTGCAAATTCACACGAGTAGAATGATCATAATCATAATCACATTCTCTTTCCATTCATTTCTACAATGTCTTCTCTTTCTCACGATCATACGTCCTATGATCTCCTGTATTAGATCTTCACTCAATTATGGGTTCTGATCCAACAGGAGTTCCATCAGCGCCTGTAACTCATATCCCTTCTCCACTCCGGTGAATGGGACATGTGGATTCTGTTTCGGATCTGCCCTAATATTGACCCTCCCCTCATCCTGAAGTACGTCCCCAAATTCTTGTCTACTATCCTCTGACTTAGCCTTCAGCACCACGACCCCTATGAGCATATATTCGAGATGAGTGTAGCAACATTGAAAAATGGAAATAATCGCTAAACGTAGTCTGGGAAATTTGAATAGTCCACGTTATTCCTAATAACCCACACTATTATACACAATACTAAATGGCAGCACTGAAATTTTACGTTAATAGGTTTGTTTTGTTTCTTTTGGGTGAAGAAAGACACGATATTGATGAAATGTTATCAGGGACTGAAGGCAACGAATATAGCAGATGAGTTGCTCAGGAAACGTAAAATCAAGTTTTTCCAGAAAGACATCCATTCTTAGTTCATACCAAAATACACTAACAGATTATATCGAGAAGATGGAAAAGTTGAATGTGGAAGTCTCATTCAAAACATGTAGTCTCAATGCCAACAAATGTTCAATAACTCTGGAAACAAGATGTTGCAGACGAAGTGAGCTATTGAAACTCGTTTCAAAGAACACAAAGAAGACAAATCTAATTTCATTGACGGGAAAATATATTGTCAATCAACCCGCTTTGGAGAATGGTCAAAAAATGAAAGAAAACTGTCAGATACATGACATACATGAAATTAGATTTTTGGATATTTTCAAAAGTTTGAAAGTGGCAAAGTGTGGCATGAAAATTTTGAACAGTAAACAACCCATTCAGTTGAGCATGGCATATGAACAATTTTCACACTTCACAATTAAATTTCCATATTTCTAGGAACAAGCAAAGTTAAGTACCTACCCAATGAGGCACGACAACTTTGAAAGGCGAATCTTGTGCAAGCTAAGGACTAACGAGGTCTTACCTTCCAATGTGTGACTTTCAACACTTATACAAAAGAATGTATCATAAGCGAAATATAGTTTCTTTTTCATTGATATTCACTTCGGGAAGATTATTATTATGTACCTACTCGTAATGCAAATAATGAAAGTCCAAGAATGGTACCTTGAGGTAAACCGAACTTAGTAGGAAATTCAGAACGGAAAATGCCTTTCAACTGAACGCGCTGAATTCTGTTTGTTGTCTTGTAATGTTTCAAAAATTGATATAATTTTTCCATGAGTCGGTGTGAATTGAACTTTTTTAGTTTTGTCACACTGTAGCGAATGTTTTGGCGGAATCTATGAATATCCCTAATATTGGCATTTTTTTATATAAAGCATCACAAAAACAATATATTTATTCATCTGATGCATTCTCCGTGGATTTATCAGTCTTGTTTATGTACTGTCACAAAGACTATATCTAGTATGGATGAATGACACTGGAATGAATATTTGGATTAGTCTAAAAATGTCACCATTCTACATTTAATAATTTTTCAATGTTGAAAATGAGACACATTTGTCTTTAGTTATCAATTGTAGTTTCATCTCCACGAGACATGAAGGAAAAATCCAACTCTTGTAAAGCTCTCCTGTCTGACCAAACCCCAACACCATCTATCAACACGACACTGAATGACACCACGAAAGAATAAATCTGTACCGAAATGTAGACAAGAATATGAATTGAGTTGACACAAATCCGGTCAGCTGAAACTTTTAATTAAACTGGATACAACCTGTTTCTAACCTGTTTCTGATAATCCAATACAATCTGAAAGTTTTTTTTGGACCGATGTCGAATACCCTTTTTATGGCATTGGGTCGGACAATCTGGTAGTGACGCTTGCGTTTTATCGAACGACCAATGAAAAATAGCAGGAATATGTTATGTGACGGGTCAATCGCCCCAGATTTGGTTTCAAACAGCTGAAAGAGGAAATTATTCTGATTGTTTCTATTGTTGTCAATTATCATTTCAGTTAAATCATTTACTGTACCATTGATATAAATAGGAAACATATTGTTTTGATATTGAAGGTTTGGACACATTCAATCTGAAACGAATAACAAATAAGGCGAGTGATTAAATTGAAATATTATTAGAAATATAGATTTGAATGGTTCAGTTTAATATGAAAATGTGCAGACAGAAAGTGTTGGGGTTTGGTATTGGGCTCCATCTTTTTTTATCATTTTTCAAAATATATGATGGAATTGGCCGATACTTGATGAAAATGTAACGTATTCAAAAAACACTTTATTGTGAGATTTTTGCTTCACAAGTAGATATAAAGATGAATAAATAATAAAATACATTTATTTGCCCAAGAGACTGACAATAATCAGTATAGGAGTCGCCCTTTATTACAATAGAAATGTGAACCTGAAAGTATCCACTAAGTGAGTACAGACATTTATCTGACAGGAAGTCCTTCAGAATTTTTGAAAATATTTATATTATTACAGTCACTAACCTGTTTTGAAAGAGCATTAAATAATCTCAAACCTAATGGTGCTGTTTAGGTTTGAGATTAAATACCATTTAAATACCATTTAAAAAAAATGGTATTATATTATTATTTTTTGAGTTATTAACGAAAAACTAGATACAATTTTTTTAATCTTATTTTGTTAATAACAATTGCAACTTTTTACCTGCACCAAAATCCTTCAAAAACATTTTTCTGGAGGTGATTCCGAATCGAATGAGCTGTCGCTCATATTTTTAGGACCTTTATCTCTATTTTTCATGTCTTTGAACTTGTTGATCAGACTGAATGTCAATAAAACTGAAGTTCCTATCTACTATTAGGAAAGAAGGAGATTTGAAAACTGCCTGTTCCCAGAATTCTAAGGGGTGAACCTCGATGAAAATTTTGAAATCATTGACCACATCGGAGTAAAAAAAATTGGAATCTAATATTAGTATCACATATACCCGAAGAACTAAAAGATGTTTTATTTAATGATAATAATATTATATGGATTTCAAATAGTGCCTTTTTCTTTGCACATTTCCACTCGAGATCGTTTCAAGCAAAACTACAACGGATAAATTCGTGAGTACTGTGAAATATTAAAATTATTTCAATAAACTTCCCTATTCGCTTCAAACATTTCATATCATTATCAACATTATCTTGGTTATCACTTGGTGATCGAAACACCAAAGGTTCCAAACAGTGCATCATGAGATCATCATATATGTACATTTAGCCAATACTTGATCAAAATCAATAACTAATTTATTCAAAAAACACTTCATTGTGAGAGTTTACTATATCAGATACTTACTCATTTGGTAAACTCATGGTAACTTCAAAGTTCGTTTCCTGATCTATGGAAAACTTATTTCGTACTTCCAATTTCGTAGAAAGCCAATTCGACTTGCTTGTCCCACTTCAGACCCATTGGTATTTTTCTCACCTCTAGAATCTTGAAGATATTGTGACCATCCAACTCAAAGGCATGCTGATGGAAAATTAAATATTGTCAATCTAGTCTGAATTTCGTGCTGGATACAGTACCTGTACGGCTCTAGTTGAATTTACAGATGACATATTGAAATCATTGAATGAAAAACAAATATTTTGATCTTATTGAACTTCAGTTAGGCATTTGATACTTTGAATCACGAATTATTTGTTTTTGATGCTACGTTACTTCGGTTGAGAAATTAGTTGTTTTCAACACAATACAAAATCAGCAGATCTACATTAATGAAAGTGTTTCAAAGGAAAGGAGTATCAACAAGGGAGTTCCACTGTATCTATATTTTCGGTGCTCTGTTATTTTCTGTCTACACAGCAGATTTTCCAAAACCCATTCCAAACTTTCAATAACTTTGATATTGTATCGTTATTGTATATCGATCTGAGGGTTAGCAAGCATGTGGAAAGCTGAAAATGCTGTTTATACACAAGTACCTCCATAACGTAGATATCGAACTCAGTTCGTGTGACTTTTTGATTCTCTTGATCCTGCACATTGCTATATAAGACTACCTTGCACTTAAATTGTGGGGCAGCAATAGCCTTCAGGAATTACAGAGTGTATATTCAAAAGACATTTATGGTTTACTAAAGTTACATATTAGCACTGCATTCCAAACTTCTTCATGGTTAAATCTGAACGAAAGGCCATTTTCATAATCCACAAACACAACGTGGATAATTTCAACAGAAAAAAAGAAGCTGCAAACCTCAATCGAATATGGAATCAAATTCTAAGAAGTTCAATGAAATTAAATAGCAGGACGGCAGTTAGAAAAGGGTCCACGGATGTTATTGACAATTTATGTAATCCTGGTATAGGTATTAGCATACCAAACTACTTGACTCATTGTGATGCACTGTTTACCTTTGAAAATCACTGGAGTTTTTTTGCAACACCAAACCGTTATTTCAATACCTCGATACGTGTTTCGATCACCACGTGATCAACTTCAAGAGGGAAATTCTTTCTCTTGAAGACGGTCACTTGGTGATCGAAACACGTGTCAAGATGTTGAAATACCGGTTTGATTTTGGGAGAAACTCCAGTAACATTCGCCTCAAGCCTTACGCAGCCGCAACATCCAGTGATCGGGAAAAACTCAGGATGTATAAACCTCTGAAGAAGCTAGCCCCTCGCGCCAGCGAATCGTCAGGAAGGAATTCGAAAAATCGCCCACCGTCAAACCCAAAAAGTTGTGACACTGAGAGATACATTTTCATTATAATTATGTTCATCTCTGAATTCATCAAAAAATGTCCTGCAAATATTTTAGAAACTGTTTAAGATAGATCAAAAGTGTGTGATATGAAATTGATATTGATTTTTATGTTGAATCAAAATCTGTAATGGAACGTAGGATATTTTTCTGAAACCATTTAGCGTACTGTTTGAGTGGCTGTCTCTTATTTTACAAAAAAATTGTCATCTGTTATCTCTGTCATCTTTATTGTTGATCTTACTACCTGGGCTACAAAAAGCTGTTTTGGACAAAAAGTTGTATTATACAGTGTGACCCATTTTTGATCCGTTGTCTGGTTCACCAGAAACGTCTAATGTGCCATCCACCGTGAATCAGCATGTATGTTCCCTGACATACTCAAGGTCTTCCAGAAATTTCATCAATACCTTCAGCTGTTTTCTTGCTGGTTTTCATAATATTATCCTCAATTTCATATGCATTAGTAGGAGAGAGAAAGAATGTATGATGTAAATAAGATATTGGTTTGATTCAATTATTAATAACTGGGGGACACTGCAAATTATTGAAGTGATAAATTGAATATATTACAAATTTTTCTCAAATCTGTCACACATTTCCCATCATAATTGAGCTTTGATACTGGTTGATTTTGACTATGATTTTTGAAAATGAGATATCGTAGTAGAATTGTTGAAAAAGTTACTGAATTTATCATCCACTGTGGAAGAAGAATAAACATCTGCTCATTGTTCTTTTTCGATCAGATTTTTAAAGTTCATCTTGTTATTTTCAGAGTAATCCCGTTTATATTGTATTTCTGTTCTTTAATTTTTTCCCACATCTAGACTAAATTGGCATATTTGGAATGTATGATCCGATATGTGGTTATCTTTTACCNCAATGACAATAAAATGAATAGGGATTATAACAAATAAAATTACGACAAAAATAGTTACTTAAGTATCTTGTTTTTTAACAATATGCTATCACTGACAAACGACCTTTCACTTAGTCGACCGACGTTTGCCTAGCTAACGTTTTTGACCCTATAGTTTATCTGCCTCTATAGTCAACTATTTCCTTTCTCCCCTAATTATAGAAGTTACCCAATAACACCAACTGATGTAGCTAGCGAAACGGGTTTTGAATGTAATTCATTGTAAAAATTCTATTATCATTTTTACTGAATCTTGAACATGCTCATTCTGGTTTCATAACCTCTTTAGTGAGTTTTGAAACGTACTCGCATACCTTATTTTCTCATTGTTTGAATGATTTTCTTATTGTCAACTTTGTCAACTACCCACCCAGCAATATATTGTAGAACTGATATCATTTTGTATGGATCCATACAGAATATTTCAAATATCTTTTTCACGAAAAAAAAAGAAGTTTTTCAAAAACGACCTATTACGGAATCATTCCATCCTTTTAACGAAATAATAATTTATGGCCTTTTTTCATCATTCAAAAAGCAGAGCGATAATTGAATGTTACCCTGCTGAAGCAAAAAATATAGAAATGAATTATTTTCAAGCTTTTCTTCGTCACAGGAAAAGTAGGAATTTTAATTTGTCCTGTTTTATTTACATCAAAAAGTACATTAAACTCGACCGGCGAAAGAAAACGCCTTTAACAGTTTTCTTGTAAATTACGTTTTCTTTCATTAATTTTTATTTTATTTGTTCTCTATTTTCCATTACCAGACTTATACTGGGATGTTGTTCATTCAAATGTGCCTTGAATACGGTCTTGATTAATTGTCACTTGAAGGTTGAAATGAGTTTCTAACGAGAATTTTCTTCAACAAATTTTCTCAGAGCATATTGAAAATATTCGCATTTTATAAATTGAATTCAGACTGTGTTGGAAAGACATCGAATTTTCTGCTACATGTTTGAAGAGAAGAAGCTCTTAACACTCATATTGAACGAAAGCCACAGAAGGCGAAAATTAAATCATTTTCACAGCAGAATGTGCAGAAAAAGGACGATCAAGATGGCTAGGCAAAAATTTTAATCCGACTTCAGGACTTCTGAGAGAAACAACAAGAGAAATGAAACATATATGTATGTATGGTTTGAAGTAAAGTCGAAAAAGTATATAGAATGAAATGAAGACTTTCAGCCAAGAAGACGGGATCAAGAACGAGTAAGGATAGACAAAAAAGTAAAAAAATGAAACTTTCTATGTATAATCAACACTTTTATTTGTAACTAACGTTACTGCTGTTTCGTTCTAAAGGGAAATTTTCGAGTTATTACAGTGAATATGCCTGCGTGTAGAGTTAGTTCATTCGTCTTGCACTTGTCGATTGAAATACGTGTCGTGTTGAAAATAACGGTTCTGTGTTGGAATAGAACTCCAGAAATACAATAAATATTCCACAGGATACCTTGTGATGTACTGTTTGGAACCTTTGGTGTAGTAATGAATATCCCTGGATTTTTTCCCAACACCAAATCGTTACTTTGGAACCTCGACATTTGTTTCGATCACCAAGTGATCATCTTCGAGAGGATGATCACTTAAATGATCCAAACACGTGTCGGGATGTTAAAATAACGGTTTGGTGTTAGGAAAAACTGCAGTACCTAATATTCATAGAATAAGGGATCAAAGTGACTGGGGAGCCCTTAATCTCGAAAAATATCATCACATAAGCTTCACGACAAAAATAAAATAAATTACCTTTATGCAATCAAGTAGAAATCCATTCAGAAAGTTAGCGAGATAGGGGATTTGGGAATCATAATAGATGACAAACCTAATTTCAAAGCACATATGAATAAAATTGCAAATGAAACAAACAAAATGATGGGTTTTCACATAAGAAACAGCAATGATTTTGAAAATCCTGAAACAACAATTTCATTATACAATGAATATATCCACAGTAAATTAAGTTTTTGTTCTATAACCCAATATATGCAATGGATATCAATAGACCGGAAAAAATCCGAAACAAATTCTTGAGATTCCTGGAATACAAAACTAATTCCCCTGTACATGATAGCAATCATCACATCATGAGGAAAAATTTCAATTTTCGCCGACTGGCCGATAGAAAAACTCTTGGTGACGTATTATTTTTGACTCAAATCACTAAAAACCAAATTGACTCGCAAGAATTACTGTCACGATTACAATTCGATGTTCCACCAAGGAAAAAAGGAATTTTTTGATTACACAAAAAAAGACGAATATTGGTACACACTCTCGTCTCATACGATCGCAAAAAGAATTCAATCTACGTATGCAAAAAACCGATGTAGATATATTTTCCAACAACTACTTATCACTGAAAAAATTCACATACTTTCACATATTTTTATTTGCCTTTTTAGTCTTTTTATTTGTTGT